ATTCTGGGACAGAGTCAGACCTGAATGAGCTTCAGCACCAGATCAGGTTTAAATGTATGAAGGTTAAAGTTTAGCTTTAACCTGCAGCTGTCAGCTGGAAACCAGCAGCTGCATCAGTAAACATTCTCTATGAACACGTTGAACAGTTTCTACCAGCATTCCTGTCTTCACCGTTTACAGTCGCAGCGCTTTTTACCGTCATCATGTTGATGTTCCTCATTGTTCTCCATTAAAACAAGGCGCTGACTGAAGCAGCTGCACGTGATCGATTCATTCAGTGCAGAAGAAGCGTCACGTGACGCGATAGCGCCTCCTTTAATGAGAACAGAGTCTGAAGCAGGAAGCTGAACCTCCTTCATGATACCTGTGGTCTCTGCTGGAGCTTTGGTTCATGTGGAGCCGCTGCTCAGAGAAAGTCTGGATCTGTTGAACTGGCTTTGAAGTTCAGCCTTCTGGTCACAGTGATCTCAGGAGCATCAGTAGAAGGTAACTGGACTTCTGGTTCTGTTTGTTGACACATCTCCACAGAACTGATCCGGTTACCTCCTACTGGTCTGAACACACAGACGGCAGTTTATTGACAGGTACACCTGGGTGTGTCGGGTTCAGTGCTGGATCTCAGGCTCCGCCCATGACTGTTCCCTCCCAGCCAATCAGGAGCCAGCTTTGTCAGCAGCGACAACATGTTGACTTGAAACGTGCATTTTTATTGGATGTGAATGATGTCATGACAACATCCTGAGCTCATGGTTGTGTTTCATAAATGAAAATGTTCAAAATAAAGAGTTTTTTTTAAAAAGAACATGCTGCAGCTGAGTGACTTCAAAATAAAATTTAATCAACAATTTTACAAAATCAAATCTCATTTAGAAAAACAGTTAAATACCAAACGGCTTCGAACCGACCAATCAGCAGACACCGTCCCGCCCCCTCGCAGCTCACAGAGCTCAATCATTGGATGATACTCAGGATGATGAGTCAAACAACAGGAAGAAAATGGGCGGGTCACCTGGTCGAGGACACACAAACGTGACCAGGATCCAGCCAATAGCGAGAGAGTGAGTTGTTTGTGTCCTGACTGAAAACAAACAAACAAACAGGGTCCCTAGCAGGTGTTCTCAGACCCATGAAGTGAATCTGACCAATAGGAGAGAAGACGTAAAAGGGGGCGGGCTCTCATGTCCACTGTCCAATCAGGGGGCAGTGACTGTAGGTGAGTCACCGCCTCGGGGGCGGGGCCAGCAGCTGTGTGGCAGTGACAGACTCTGGGAACAGGTTGTGATAGGTGGGCAGTGGGACGTATGCCGCCGTGATCATCTTACCTGAAATGACAGGTGGATGTTAGTGCTGCTCACTGATTGGTCCACAGTACCGGGGTCATGTGACAGCAAGTCTTACCAGCAAAGTATCTTCCATGTAGAGAGTTGACGGCGGCCATGGCAGCCGGGATTGACGGACACTTGACGTAGACGTTTCCCTGTAAAAAGGACAGCCAGAGGTCAAAGGTCAAACCAAGGTCAGAGGTGAGACAGTGAGGTCAGAAGTGAGATGGCGAGGTCAGAGGTGAGATGGTGAGGTCAGAGGTGAGATGAGGTCAGAGGTGAGATGGTGAGGTCAGAGATGAGTTGATGAGGTCAGAGATGAGTTGATGAGGTCAGAGGTGAGTTGATGAGGTCAGACATGAGTTGATGAGGTTGGCGTTGAGGCGTACTTCGGCGGAATTCTTGTCCACGTAGATGTGGACCAGTCCTCCATGCTTGTTGCACTCCTCGATGACGTCGTGTCGGATCTCCACCTCCCAGCCGGCTGCCTCCTCACTGAAACACACACAGTTACTCTGCTGCTACCTGCGGCTCACCTGAGACACTCACATCAGGGGCCTCATGTACAAAGTGTGCGTACGCACAAAAACTTGGCGTACGCACTTTTCCACGCTCATGTTCAGATGTATTAAGAGTGAAATGAACGTGGAAATGTGCGGTCCTCCTCGCCAACTTCTTGACTGGCATATGCACGTTTCTATTGCTTTTGAGCCGTTGGCGACACCTAGAGGTGATGCTGGGAATATAAAAATGTAAAAAACAATGTAAAAAAAATGTAATTCCTCAAAGTGATGTGCACATCAGAGACACTTAGATGAACACTTAACAGACCCAGGTAGCGACGGCCGGTTCTCCTGATGTAATCGGAGCGATCGACTGCACACACATTGATATAGAGGCACCATCACAAGATGCATTTGTTTATGTAAACAGGAGGCATTCTTAGTTAAAGAGTACAGTGAACTTAATTAAAGAACAGTGTACAGATCATCTGTGATGCGCAAATACATTTAAGTAACGTTGTTGCGAGGCGGCCTTGATCAAAACACATTCTGACCAACAGCGTGGTTGAGAACAGGCTACAAGCTGGCACCGTGCGGGATGGGTGGCTTCTTGGTGAGTAAGTCATTTAATTGTCCTAATATTAATCCCCCCGACATGCGTTAATGTGCGCCCCGGACGGGCATCAGCAGCTGGCTGTTGTGGCGGACCGGAGGATCGGCTGACGCCGGGGAGGCTGGAGGAATCCCGCGGGTCTGTGATACGAGGCTGGGACTGCGTCTCACAGTCTTCTCCTGCCTCATTGTCTGTTGGAAAATAATAAATTGAGTAATCTGACATGAGACAAAGTTTTGATTTCCTTTTTGATATCCTGGCATGATTACACATAAACCTGTATCTTGTTTGGCTGCGAGCAGATTATTATATGACCCGTGTAGTGAATAAATCTGTGAGTTACACAATAAATATTTACCTTGGGGGTGATCTGAGTGACCCACGTGTGCTCCCACCACCCCTGTGACAGCAGCGTCACCCACAATAGACTCTCTGCTCAAACGGGGTGAGTTCATCCTGGTTACTGTTATCTGATCCTGCAGAGAGGGGAATCCCGCCTGTCGGCCCTGTTTATACTATTTTGCATATTTAAATTGGGGGCGTGGAGAGGGAGGAGTCTGGTACTCCAACATGTGCGGTCAATTCCACGCTGAGTGAGATGTACAAAGGAAATGTGCTTGGATTCCGGCGTACGCTCACTTTCGTTCATCTGGATTTTTTTGTGCGTGCGCAGTTTTCAAGATTGAAGCATACGCCAGGTTTCAGTATGAAATCCACGCAAGTTTTTGTACATGAGGCCCCAGGTGTCTCTCCCTGTACATACATGACCGCAGGAACACGTATGACCACAGGTGTGTAAAGACTAAACAAAGACCTGGACGTGGACTTTAGAGGCCAGACACACAGACTGACCAGCTGATCAGTAACCGTAACGACATGAATAAACTGTGTCAGTGTGAATTCAGTGTGTTGATGCTGAACAGCTGGGCGGGGCAGACAGGTGTGTTCTCACCTGGTGGGGTTGAACATGTTGGACAGCTGGAAGCAGTGCGTGGCCAGAGGCTGAGACGGGAGGTTCAGAGCAGCAGAGTTCATGTTGAGGGCCGGGTTCATGGCAGCTGCACACAAAGCACATGCTCAGAGGGCCACACAGACACAGACACAGACACACAGACACACACACACTGTCTGTGTGTTTGTGTGTGTGTGGTTGTGTAGTTGTGTGTGGTTGTGTAGTTGTGTAGTTGTGTGTGTGTGGTGGTGTAGTTGTGTGTGTGTACCTGACACAGCAGCCATGGCTCCTATGGCGATGGCTCCACTCATCTGCAGGGCCTGCTGAGCAGCAGGAGGGATCTGCAGTCCGGTTCCTGCAGCAGACAGCTGGTTAGAATGTGAGCGGCTCTGATGCTGGTTCTACTGGAACGGTCCAGAACACAGGATTCTATGGTGCTGAGCATGGTGTGGGCTCACCTTCAGCCAGCCGGGCCATCAGCTGCAGCCTCCCGGTGGTTCCCAGGTCGATGCCGGTGCGTTCGAGCTCGTCGCTGTCGAGGAAGGACGAGGCCGTGGAGGCGTCGGTCCGCTCCGTCACATGACCCACCTTCATGGGTCGACCCGCCAGCTCGAAACCGTTCAGCTGCTCCAAAGCTTTCTTGGCACATTCGGCATCTGCAAACTGACATCACCACAGGTGTGCTGGTCTGAGCAGGCAGGTAAAGCGTGAAAAACAGCCTCTGGCTCGGCCGTGTTTCCTTCAACCAATCACAGTGGCGGTGGGCGGGGCTAAGCCAAGGATGCAGCTGAACTCAAAACAGTGACGGCTGGAATAGCTGTGGTGGAACATTTGCAATGGAAAGACGAGAACTGCGCTGAATAATGATCCACCAACTTGCAGAACTTCCTGACTGCACGACCCAAGTCCCTGGACCTTCTGGTTGTTGTTGGAACATGCAGATGACTGAGATGATCAGGAAGCAGCAGGTCTACGTTGCAACTTGCCACATGATCAGAACCTGAGAGGAGGAACTCACCGTGATGAAGCCGTAACCTTTGGAGCGTCCGGTCTCGCTGTCCATCATCAGCTGGATGCTCTCAATCTGACAAACAGAGCAGCTGTCAGACACATACACACCTATGTGTTTGTGCACCTGGATATACATGTGTGTGTGTGTGTGTGTGTGTGTGTGTGTTACCCGCCCAAATGGCTCAAAGATTCCTCTCAGCATCTCCTCGGTGATGTTGAAGTGCAGCGAGCCGACGTACAGCCTCATCGGTCCAGATGTTCCCTTCTGAAGGTTGTTGGCTGCTGCAGCTGCTGCTCGGTTCTTCTCAGCCTGAACACACAGGTTCATCGATTTTAGTCTCCATGTACCATACAGGTGTGGTACAGGTGTAGTACAGGTACAGAACAGGTGTAGTACAGATAAAGTACAGGTGTAGTATAGGTACAGTACATGTGTAGTACAGGTGTCGTACAGATGTAGTACTGGTATAGTCCAGGTGTAGTATAGGTGTAGTACTGGTACAGTACATGTGTGGTACAGGTGTAGTATAGGTACAGTACAGGTGTGGTACAGGTACATTACAGGTGTGGTATAGGTACAGTACAGGTGTGGCACAGGTGTAGTACAGGTACAGTACAGGTGTAGTGCAGGTGTAGTATAGGTACAGTGCAGGTGTAGTATAGGTACGGTACAGGTGTAGCATAGGTACAGTACAGGTGTGGTACAGGTGTAGTATAGGTACAGTACAGGTACGGTACAGGTGTAGTATAGGTACAGTACAGGTACGGTACAGGCAGAGTACAGGTGTAGTATAGGTACAGTACAGGTGTGGTACAGGTGTAGTATAGGTACAGTACAGGTGTGGTACAGGTGTAGTATAATCAGTATTAAAGGACCTGTGTGTGTGTTTCTGTTTAGTGCAGATGGAAACCGTCAACGTGAGAAAGTCTGAAGATGTTGGTAAGGATCTAGGCTGTGTGTGTGTGTACCTGTGATGCCTGAACAATGATGGGAACTCCCAGCAGCCTTTGCCCCGTCAGTCCGATGGCCAGAGGAACTGAACTGGCCTCCACAAACTCGATGTAGGCGATACCCTTCGACCTGCGTGAGTTCCTGTCTGAGATCATCCTCACATCCCGAACCTGTTGAGGCACCACGGTGACGGTTACCATGGCAACCAACCAATGATTTCATTTACAATGACTTGTTCAAACCAAACTGATCTGGTGTCAGTTTTTATGCCATGTGTCTATCTGCTGTACTGATGAAGTTCTGAGGAGGTTTGGGGGGAACTTTGTTCAGATTTGACTGATTTTATATGTAATGATGCAGCTGTGATATAAAAGCAGTGAACTGGGCGACACCTTCCCAACAGCAGAGAAGAACTCCTCGAGGTCTCGAGGTCGTATCCGGGCTGCCAGCTGCATACAGAACACCGTCCGGGCGTCTCGTTCCTCCGGAGTCAGGTTGTCTATCGGCTGTCTGCAACAACAACCACAACAACAACAACAACAACAACAACAGTTTTACTGAGTGTGTTACAGTCGAGATGAAAATATTCCTTTGTTTTAAACTGTTCAATGCTCACCTGATCGGACTCTTCTCCTTCTTGAAGGGACTCTTACTCTTCGACCTCCGACGGCTGAAAACACAGTCAGTCAGTCAGACAGGCGAACAGTCAGGTGAACAGTTAGTCAGGTGAGCAGTCAGTCAGTCAGGTAAACAGTCAGACATGTGAACAGTCAGGCATGTGAACAGTCAGGCAGGTGAACAGTCAGTCAGTCAGTCAGTCAGTCAGTCAGTCAGTCAGTCAGTCAGTCAGTCAGGTGAACAGTCAGTCAG